AGGTTGCTGAGGTTCACCACCACCATAAAGAAGTCCTTCCTTCCTGTAGCAGCCGTCTCGACGTCTCAGCTTCCGTGAGAGACGCAGACTTGGCCCAAGTAGCCGAGCAGTACGCGTCGTTAATCTAGCATCGCGTCTTTTCTCTTTTCCATTTCTCCACCGCGATACATAAATCTCGAACGAAAATCATTTTTATTTCCTTGGAGTCGATCATCTTTGCTACTCTCACGCCACCACGCACGTATTATCGGAGCAGACAGTGTTTTCTATGGTGAGTGATTTCCATTAACGAAGTTCGTTCAACCTTCCTCTTCATGGTTAATTATACATCCACGAATGGTTATGGTTGTTCTCTTTCTTTCCGATGCCTTAAGGGTGCATGTCAGTATAGATAGGACAAAAAAATCGCTTTCTTTTTTTATTGTATATTCTAAAAGTTTAAAGTTTTGGGAATATTTTTCAAAAAATTTCGAATCAAAATTTGGAAGAATGATGGAGATACGGTACTAAAATGGAAGCAAGTCTTTATGACATATTATTTGCGTGGTTTATGATCATGTAAGGTCGATGAATTTATCTAAACGAATGCTGTAACATTATGGATAAAAATATATGAGATTCCATCAGAGATCGTTTTTTGTTTTAGGAGAACCCGAATCAAAAATATATTGCTCAGCGCCAAGCATGTTTTTGACGACCCGCTCTACGGTAATGGCTGCCTCTCGCTAAATTTTAAGATTATTTAATTAAAAACAAAAAACAAGTTATTAAGACATATCTTAATGTATGTACTTTATAGTGCGTGCATCCCCATTTCAAAGAAATAAATACTCTCAGAAATAAAAATTCTGAAAAATGACATTGATTTTGACCATCTAGACTGACATGCCCTTAAATATATTGTATATGTAAGAGAATAAGAAAAATTGACTGACAATTATCTTGCTCTGACCACGTACTCTCAAGTAGATAAGTTAGGTATGTACTAATATGAAACTATATACTTTCTAAAGAATTTAATTATCGTCAATAAAAAAACAAGAAACGAACAAATAAGAAATTGTTTTAGTTTAACCATTAATGTCCTCTATCAATCGGGTAGTGACTGCTGATTGTTAGTTCGTCTTTTTAAATATTCATTTATCAAAATACAAACAATTAATGCTATCGATTCTTTTTTTCATTTTCAATTTAGTTAAAAAATTTTAAAAGATAATATTTTAACTTCCAAGGTTATATTCTACTTTGTCTTTCATTTTTTCAATAAATTTTTGTAAATATGTATTAAAAGAATATATTTGTTTTACACGGTCTAGATGAAAAAACGCGAATGTTAAGTGGAATCATTACATGTTATTACATTACCTATGGAGCACCCGGCGGCCTTGAATAAAAAACAATAATTTTTTTTCACAGCTGAGACCTTACTTCTATGCGAAACAATACAGCCTTGAATGAAAAGCCATATTTTACTTTTTTCTCAAACGCAATAAAGTCTTGCTTGAGTACACAGCTGTTCGACGTTTACTTAATGGATCTCGCATAGATGGACACTAAAAGAAAGCCTGAATTCAAGAATTTTTTCGTCATTCGAACTATTAATTACTTATAAAAATCAGTTTACAGTAATGGAATCTCGATGGATAAGTTGAAAGAAAATATGATCAAAAATTAATTGTAAATAATTATCGGGATAAACATTTGGAAAAAAGTAATCGATGTAAAGTATTATACAGGAGATAGTATATGAAGATTGGTATTTTCAAAATTTATCTCAACTTCCTCTAGTATAGAAAATACTGATAGAAAAGCAGTATGAGAATTGTTCTTTCTGGTTTTAAAGGTTCCATTATATTTTAAAGCAAAAGTCTTCGTGCTTATCTTCTTGTGAACTGTGCTTTCTAGTAGCGTGGAAAGACTTTAAAAGCTAATTTATAGTACAATTAAAAAAGTCATAAAATTGAACCGTTGTTTGAATATTAAATTTTATACAAACTCTTATATAGTTGCGATTAAATAATCCAATTAATCCACCAGAATCTTATTCATCTGTTGAATCTAGAGGAAAGAGAGACTCTACCCTCCTATATACATATGTATATGTATGTACTGAGACAGAAAAATAATTAAAAAAAAATTAGTTCGTTTAACACACAAATATACTGGACTTAATTTTGATTAGAGTGATGCTACTACGATTAAAAAACATTTATTAAATGTTATTATTCAAATTTATAAGTATAAATTCTGCGTTATTTTTCATTAGTAGACTGCAGATCTTTATGCATTTATAATATATCGAAATATGCAAAATATATGCAAAATATATGGAAGATGTATGCAATGTATATGCTAAATATAAGTATAGGAAATATATGTATGGATCTTTAAAATAATTATATAATAACTACTTATTATTACTACATAATTATTTAATAACTATTTTTTATTGTTTCATTTATTATAATTCAAATTACAATATACAACAATAGATTTTTCAATATTTTCGATTGCAAATTTATACCTCTTATCTGTTAAAATTAATTTATACGCCGAAAAAGAGAGTTCTACATCACATGATGTTCTAGGGGCATATTTAAATTTACTCCAATGATATGCCAGAACCTCTCGTAGTTCTTCAACGTGTTCACCCTTTAAAATCTTGCTTATTTTGAATAATATATTAAAGTGTACGTTTCGTTTTAATACTGATTCCATTATATCTATAACTTTTTCTCCATAATCACCGGGTATAATTTTTTAATTTTCTGTAACTAGTTACCAAATCTATAGATTCTGTTAGAGGTAATCCTATTGTTACCAATTTCTTTATGGCCTCAGGTAACATTTGGAAATGGTTCTGAATAAATGTTAAATTTTACTGATTAACTTGGAAAATGGAGATTAATGGAGAGTCTGTTTACACATCATATCATCGACTTTGTTTTGTCTCTCACTGTATGTCAATACAGTACTTACCAAATCGAAATTACAACACGATGTCGATCTATCTTATTTATTCTGGCAGACCATTAAACAATCGGATATGCATTTATACGAAAAATATGCAACATATACTATATGCAAAATATGCAAAATAAAACATATATTTTTGGAATCATCTAATCATGACATAGATTTCTATCCAGGTCCCATTCGTCTACCTATTTTCTACAGGGTGTCTACGTATGAGTTCGGACATACGCAGGGTGTCAATTCTACAACAAATTTCCAACAAAAAATTACTCTTAGACATTTTCTTTGTGTCGCCTTATTCTCGAGTATTTTCACTTTTAATATGTTTTCTGCGTTTTCGACTTGACACTCTTCAAAAGGCCATAACTACACTAAATTGTAGTGAAAAATTAGGTCAAACTTTACATTGTGAAAATTTTTAAAAATTTGACCTTTTCTGTATTCGTTTCTCGGGTTCAAAGACATAGTTGTTTGGCGGGCACTCTTCGGGAAAAATTTCCTCGAAGTCTCAGCTTTTGAATGGTATTCGCATGACTGTTTAACTCTTGACACTTCGTTAAAAAAAAAAACATTTTATTAATTTATAAGTATTTAATACTTCTTTCGTGGGATTTCCTTTTTATTTTATAATTATTGAACTCTTCTAAGCATTAAATTAACTAAATTATTAGTTATTCGAAGTGACATCTTCTTCCATTCTTTTATTAGAGCCTTTTTTAAAAGTACTTTACTGGAAATTTGATGTTTTTTAATTTGTAAGAAGCAATAAACTAATGTGTTTACGTTACAAACTCCGCTGTAAATGGTTCATCATAAGAATCGTACAAATACTTATTGCTTCTATACTTTTACCCACTTTTCGCATATTTTTGTTAATTTCACAAATTATATTAACTAGTAAATGTTGTTAGGACTCTATCTATCTTAGAGACTTCCGAGAATATGTAAAATATCATTGACTATAAAAAAGGAAGTTAAGAAACCAGCTTTGAATTTTTTTTAAAGATAGGCATGAACTTTCCGGACAACCCAATACCACCGTACAATTTTTTTTGACAATACCATTCAAAAGCTGAGACTTCGAGGAAGTTTTTCCCGAAGTGTGCCCGCCAAACAACTATGTCTTTGAAACCGAAAAACGAATACAGAAAAAGTCAAATTTTTAAAAATTTTCACAACGTAAAGCTTGACTTAATTTTTCACTTGTTAAATCTACGTAATAAATGTTGGTTTTATATCATGGAGATGAGAAATTTAACGCTCTTTCGAATGGTATACTTAATTTTAAGTTTGCACTGTAATTTGGTGGAGTTATGGCCGTTTAAAGAGTGTCAAGCCGACAAGACAGAAAAAATATTAAAAGTGAAAATACTCGAAAATAATGTGACACAAAGAAAATGTCCAAGAGTAATTTTTTGTTGGAAATTTGTTGTAGAATTCACACTCTGCGTATGTCCGAACTTATACGTAGACACCCTGTATAAAAATATGCATTTGCATAAAGATCCGCAGTCTATTCATCAGTTATTATGAAAACGTCGGGAAAAACAGTACTACACAAACAGGGTGTTAAGGGGGTATGCTGAATTAGGAGATCTAAAAAAAGCGGATTTTCGTGAATTTTTTGGGATGGAAAAAAATAATTAATTCTATCAAACTTTTTATCCTATTTTCATACATATTTGAGTAGTCTGTACAACTTTTTCCAACAAGAAATATTCAATTGAGTCGACTGCGACGCGGATTTGTAGAGCACCTCACAATTAAAACCTCCTATCGGGGGGAAAGATGCAGGTCGTAATTTTGGTTTGACACAAAAAAAAACAAAAGAAATTTTCATTTTCATTTCGAAAAAATTCACGAAAAACCGTTTTTTTTAGACCTCCTAATTCAGGGTGCCCTCTTAAGCGTATCAAAAACGTTAAAATTCAGTTTGCACGAAAGATTCCAGTCGATGGAATCGGCGACATTCGATCCAGAATACCGAGACGCCCATCGTCAGCCCTTCTCGTATGCCTACGCACCTTTACTTTCTCAAGGCTCTGACCAAGTGCCCTTCGAACGATTCCTATCTTCCCGTTGCGTCTCACTTTTGACCGGTATTTAGGAAGGTCACGACCTCAGGGTAGGTTTGTCGCGAGATACGTAATCACGCATGCGCGACCCGCGAGCGAAAGTATTTAAAGAGGTGGACGCGTCTTTGGAAAGGCCACTCTTCCCCGAACTGTCACGAATCGCGCAAGTCCCCCACTTTCCTCCCCCTTCCGAGGCAAACGGGCACGCACTCCCATCGAGAGCGGGAAGATCGGCTCTTTTAGCCTCTTCTTGCTTCCCCCCTTTTGCCAATTGCCTTTACCCTGCCAATACTCCCCCCTCTTTAGGATCATTCGTCCTCCGCAATTCCCCACCCCGAAGATCGTTGGTGTGACATCGGTTCACTTAACAGACCTACCTGCCCTGTCTTCGCAGATTCGTTTCGGTGCCGTCAAACGTGCAAGACCCGTGACAGGAAAGAAGAGATCGTCCAGCTGACAACCGACCTTTTTTCTGGGATCAAGCGAGCATACACGAGACTATGCATAGACCATTTATTCGAAACGAAACTAATCTTCGATCGACAATGGATTAAAGACTAACATTCGGGTAGCACGCTTCCTGACGCAGTAAACGAGATGCTCGTTTGATTATTCGGTTGGAGATAGAAGAATCGAAAGGTTTGACAGTGTTTCTTAGAAGAGGCATCGCGTTTCGAATGGATTGATCCAGAATACCCACGTACGAGAGATCTTCGTGTTTTCGATAAAGGATCGAGGGACGTTTGTACATTTGTTATCTTCCGTGAGAATCAGATCGCATAAAGATGGACGAGGGGGATGTTCAACAAGAATCGAGGGACAAAGTAGGGAGTTTGATCTTTTCGCCGCCACCTATGAAGAAGTCTGACACGAGAGATAGTATTTCTTCCGTTGATAGCGACGTGAGCCTCTCCTTCGACCGAAGAGGCTCGAAAGGGGAGGAAGCTGACATGTCGGACAGTGGAAGCTCCGATAATGAAAAGAAATCGAAGAACGGAACGAAAGGGCAGAAAAGTTCTGATCCAGATTCGGGAGCAGACTCGATGGAGGATACCGGTTACAACGCGACGAAAGATGAGAATCAAGAAACACCGACCGAAGTGACCACGATCGACCAGTCCAACGACTTTGTTCCTCCGAATGACGAATTAGCTGAGAAAATATGTGATCAAGTCGAATTCTACTTCTCCGACGAAAATATCGTTAAGGATGCATTCTTATTGAAACACGTGAAGAGGAACAAGGAAGGATACGTATCTTTGAAACTGATCTCGAGCTTCAAGAGGGTGAAACACCTCAGCAGGGACTGGAGGGTGGTTGGCGCTGCATTAACGAAATCGAAGAAATTACAAGTGAACCCTCAGGGTACCAAATTACGTAGGCTCGATCCCCTGCCACCTTTCGACCAGACCACTCCTTCTAGAACGATTCTGGCTGCGAGACTTCCCATTGAGAAATTGTCGGTCGAATCTGTGGCGGAGATTTTTCGACCGTGCGGGGAGATCGCTCTTATCAGAGTGCTTCGACCTGGCCATCCTGCACCAGCTGAGGTAATTATCCTTTGCTTCAATTTTTAACACATCTACAGTGGGTGTAGAATGTATTCGCACACCGATCAATTTTTCAAAAAGTTTTTGTGTGAAATTGTAGGTTTCTTAAGTTCTTTTTTTATAATCAATGATATTTTACATTTTCTCGGAAATGTCTAAGATAGATGTAGTCCAACCAACGTTTACTAGTTACTATAATTTGTGAAATTAACAAAAAAAAATGCGAAAAGTGGTTAAGAGTATAGAAGCAATAAGTATTTGTACGATTCTTATGATGAACCATTTACAGTAGAGTTTGTAACGTAAACACATTAGTTTATTACTCCGTACGAATTAGAAAACATCAAATTTCCAGTAAAGTACTTTTAAAAATGGCTCTAATAGAAAAATTGAAGAAGATCCCACTTTGAATAACTAATTATTTAGTTAATTGAACGTTTAGAAAAGTTATAATAATTATAAAATCAAAAGAAAATCCCACGAAGGAACTATTACATACTTGTAAATTAATGTAAATTTTTTTTGCTTTAATGAAGTTTTAAAAATTAAACAGTTGTGCGAATACTTATTGCATCAACATTTCTATCGATTAATTGTTTTTTTCTTGTTAATTTCGCAACTTACATAAATAGCTATTTTTCTTGTACTCTATCTATTCTAGAGATTTCTGAGAATATGTAGAATGCCATTGTTTATAAAAAATAAGTTAATAAATTACAATTTTACATAGTATTTTTGGAAATTGATCAGTGTACGAATACTTCCTACGCCCCCTGTATCTGTCAATTTGCATCGTTTCTTGGAAATAACGGATGTACAAAATAAGAAATTGTCTAACGCAAGCATTTATGCTGCGCGCATATTTAAAGCAAATTTTATATATTTTTGAATACCAATCATTTGTTAATACTTTACTGACCGGTAGCGTTTGGGTATATAGTTAAATTCAATAATACTTTTTATTTTCATAACATTAGTATCACACGACATTTATCTTATCTATCAGAATCGTTTTTTGTATTAATATTTTTATATAATATTTACATAATATATATAGAATGTATATAATATTTCATAATTCATGAAATAAAACAATTAATATAGGTTACCAATCGGTAAAGTGTTAACATATTAAACGAATGAAAGGGAATTCTTCTATTTCTCGTAATCAAGATTCTAATCGGAATTCGTTAAAACTTCATACTTCATGGTTTACAGGTTTTGCCATGTTGAAAGATATTTGAAAAAATCAAGTGAAAAGAAAATTCCTATGTTTAGGTATCAAAATGAAAATTGTAAAGTGTATATTTGTTTTTTCGGGAATAGACTGATACTTTTTGTTTTGATATTTTTATTTTACCTTGAAATATGTACATACATTTCATTAAATAGCTAACAAATTATGCAAATTTCTTTTATTTCAATTTACATAGTTTTTTACACAAACAGCCATAATCTCGATTTACACGGTTTTTTTGCTCAAGTATGCAAGATATTACGTGTTTTGCTATGTTATTGACTTTTTAACAAATTAACGATAATTTTGTATTACATAGCAAACATCGATTAGGTTTAAAAAAAGGATATTTGTGAACTTCTAATTTTACAAAATTGTGAAACGTTGCATGCAAATAAAGTAGTTACTGTAACACAAAATAATTATTGTCAGTATCATTATTATATACGGTATGAACAGAGATAATCATTCCTTGTTGAAAATATAGATTCTCTTTTATCGTGGATTACCTCTAGAACAATGACACATAGATATCTATTGCAAGAAAAACGTAAATAAAAGTTGTACTTTACGTCTACATCTACAAAAATGTATAGAAACAATGATCAAAAAATCAATTGATAAAGCAGTAACTTAAGAAGCTTTTACAAATTAAAAGCAGAATTCATCCGTTTAACTTACTAATATATATTGTAATCTCGTTAGTTGCCCTCTGTATTATACATACAGTTCATCTTTAAGGTTAAAATTCTCACGTTGTAAGGTTTCTCGCTTTTGATCGATGAGCGACGTTGAAACAGGCGGCGCTCTAAAGTTGAACATCCCTTCCGTAAAGAATTTATATCTCTATTATTTTCTTTATATTTCCGTGTGACTCTAGGTAGGGCACACTTTGGAAAACTTCTATTGAAGTAGAAGAAAAAAAAAATCAATTCCTTCAACCTTCTATTGTAGTGGAGAACGTTCATCACAAAGACTTGTATCGTGGATTACTGTTAATGTTTATGCATTTATGACGAGTCGAAATAGAGTAAAATGCACAAGAATGTGGACAGATGTAAAAATCTATAAAATATCGTTAATGTCGTTTCTGCGAATCTCAATACTTATTTATCATTTATCAGCTCATTGATTCTTATTGATCTCGCATTGAAAATTTTGCACACTAGGTGGCAAAGGGCTATTGATAACGAGGGTGATTTCATAATTGCTTAAAAATAGAAAATTGTTAAGAGTTTTTGTTTGAATTTAATTTAAAAGGAATGACATTACTTTTCGGCCCCCCTAATATATTTCATGCCGAATCTACCACATTTGAATTTGACCAAAAGTGTTCAACATTATAAAAGTTATGGGGTTAAAGAGAAAACAGGTTGTTTTTAACTAATATAATTTTATTATGTCTGGAAAAAGTAGTTACAAAAAAGTTGAACTGCAAGCGATTAAAGAAAATGAATGTTAATTTTCATCATTTCATATTAAATGTTTTTTAAGACATTTTTTGTTATAGAGAAGAATTTATATAAAGATTTTTTAACTTTGAGAATATTTAAGGTACGTTTTAAGGTACATTTGGTAATTTGTACAGTTCATTTCATACAGAAATCTTTGAGATATCGCCTTTTTTCGAAACTACATTTCTCACATCCGTGGAAATGATAAGTCAAAAGCTAATTGACCGATCGTTTCCCAACCTTACATACATTTCCTTTATTTAAATGCCTTAAATATAAACTAAAAACTGGTATGAAATCATTGTGTAAAGTATATTTCCTATTGCAAAAAGCTGCAATGATCTCAAAAATTCCAAGTTTCAAATTTTTTGGTCGCAGTTTAGTTTATATTATTAGAAAACATGTTAATAGTGTAGTATCCGCGCCTCCCATTCAAAAATTACCAAATGTATCTTTAAACATACCTAAGATACTTTCAAAGTTAGAAAAATATTAAGTACAATTTTTTCTTTATAAAAAGATCACGAAAACGCTTCATATTTGGCCTTCTAATGTGGTTTCTCCCCTTAAGGATATTAATCGTATTAGTTACCTTGCTGTGACATTTCAATTTTTAGACACGTTTATCTCAATTCTTCCGTCACATGTGAATAAATAATTATTTTAGTATCTTTATTATTTTTATCACTTGTATTTAGCAAAAAGCACGTTTAATAAAGTATTATAATTTCTTACCATTTTGGATTTGGCTAAAATTTTTACTGGTAACGAAGTTATAGTTTGTTACACTTACTTGTCCCAACTTGTATATGAAATATCTATACGCTTTTCTGGATATGAGACGAGGCCTTTTCTTTTAGGGGTCGTAAAAATGTTCGAAAAGGTTGTAAAAGTATCACAAAACGTAGATCAAAAAGGCGCAAATTTCCAGCTCTGGTTTGAAAAAATATGTATGTTGTCATATCCGTTGCATATGCTAACGTGATGTAACAAATTGATTTCGTGGAACGTATTGTTATCGATTCAGTCGTGCTCTTCGTACTATGCCACATACCGCGGTGGCGGTATGGTTGCGTTTACTACGAAGAGACGACTGCTGGTAATCGCAACTAAAAGTACCATGTAACCTTTAAATTATCAGGTGCGACAAGCAATCGCTAAAAGGCCAGAGTTGGCATCGAGCGACGAGTGCGCCATGGTCGAGTTCACTGATTCAGCGTCCGCTCGTACTGCTTTACAAATGACCTTCGGCGATGCCAAGGTGTTCGAGCTGCAACAATCCAGCGACAAGAAGAGGAAACAGCAACCGGCGAAGAAAAGTGCCGTGACGAGGCTCGCCAAAGAGGAAGCTTACAACTCCTCGAGTTGCGCCAGTGGATCCGAGGCTGAAGATGGAAGAGCCAGACATAAGAAACCTGTTCTAACCAACCACGGTTACCCAATGTACCACGCTTACCCGGGCCATCCCTTTCAAGGTACGACTGACAATAACTCTCGAAACAGAGCATGCTTCACTTCAACCCCTACAAAAACTTACAGGTCCTCAATCGTAGATTGAACGACAGTGGTTGAAAACCGACTTACTAGAATACAGGAAAGGCAAAACTAATTTATTATTAACGCAAAACTAATCTCATAGCTCAGCAATCAATGTAATCAAACGCTAACACAATCCCGTAGCTCAGCGAATAGTGTAATCAACCACAAAGCCTGACGTCTTCAATCATTTATTTACTTCCGTTTCATTACATTTAAAAGTGAAAAACGAAACCAGAATGGTTTTCAACAATACAAGTTTTCGGTCAAACGCAATAACACGAAATTGTATAAAATTACTATAATTTTTCAGATGCAAAGTGTTATAATATTAGGTCATCCCATAAGTAATGTCCCATAAGTAATAAGTAAAGTAATAAGTACTTTTATGTAACTTTAAAAAGACATCTTTTGTGCATCTTAATGATGTATTTATAGAAACTTCGGTTTATCTCTCTGAAAGAGAGTCTTGGAAGTCTACAGCATGCGATGAAAGCAATTATTAGATATTTTTCATTCATAGATTAAATTTTAAAATGAGCTTGAGCAAAAACCATTAGCGCCATTGTATCTTGTATGAGTGTGAAAAGACAGTACAACAGACACTGTTAAAATCATTTGCAAAGTGTATGGTAATCATGTATCAAATTTGTGAAAGTGTAAGATTTCTTTTTCGAAATGGTGACTTTGATCTTAGCAATCAAGGAAGCAATGTCCTATCAACCGTTAGCTTCCGATATTCAAAACCTTATCTAACTACTGAAAATACAGCAGAAAGATTGCGTAGGAACAGTACGATAATCGACATTTGCAACAACTGGGGAAAACATCGAAACTTGAAACTTGGCTTTATTTACATCCAGTAAATAACGATTTATGCCTCATTGCGAGACTGGTAAAGCAATGATTCATTTTTCGTTTGGTTTGATAATCCAGGTGAAAAGTGAAATCTATACAACAATCCAAATTGCAAATGTCAGTAATTATCACTTTGTTAATCACTTCTATCATACCTTATGAGACCTAAATGAAAATGTTCATTTTCGAAAGATTTTATTGTGCATGTATTGGAATATTAAAAAATTGGGATTAAATATATGAAAAAAATTACAAACGGAATTAAGATGGTTTTATGGGACGAAAATAGTCATTATATTTTTTTCTCTAATGTAAGTCCTTTTTTTTCTCGAGTTATCAGGGTTATTAGCGTTTCTTTTTTTAGACGGTACTGCGTACTTTTAATCTTTGCATATTGTAGCCAATATTGGAACAATCTTAACCATGTAACATAAAATGACCTTTAAATGACCTCCAATCTAGAAATATGAAGTAAAACAAATTGAACGTGTAAGGCTCATTTGTTTTATTTCACTTACATTAATTGTTTAAAATTATTCCAAACAGACGAATGATAATATTATTGCAGTGAAACCTTGTTTATCCAACTAGGTCTAGGGAAATGACAGTAAGAATAACCGAGCAATTCCGATACCAAAAACTTATTAGCTATCCCTTCCAACTTTTGTGATCAGTTCAGAAAATAATAGTCAATGTTCGAAAATGTAGTATCGAACACGTCTGTCCGTTTTGTCGAACAATCAGTACCATGTATTCCTTTTGCTACACGCGTAGAAGTTATTCTGAGTACAAACAAATAATTGTATATATACATTATACAAAATGCATTCGTATAATTGAAGTTACTCTACATTTTTAGATTGAACGTCATTTAAAGGTCATGTTACATGCAAAGATTAAAGGTATATCCTTAAAAACAAAAAAAAAAAAAACAAAAAAAACCGTTATTAACCCTGATAACTCGGAAAAAAATGACTTTGGGGAAAAATTACGATGACTATGTTCGTCCCATAAAATTGTTTTAATTCCATTCGTAACATTTTTCATATTTTCAAACCCAATTCTGACCTCTACTACACTACTCGTAAGCGTCTTGTTTCTGTAAATACGAATATATCATACACTTCTCTTATCTTGCACTCTACCAGAACATGATAGTCGCTTAACATGTGTTTTAACGTTTCTCTTCTCATTATAGAAAATTCGTTCCTCCTTTCCTCTTCTTTCATGCAGTACTTATTTTTGCTACTTCCATATTTCCGGACCTCACACTTGCTACCAACCTTTGGCTGTCTCCTTTCTCCATTTTTGTTAAGTATTCCGAGAACCACCGTGACTATATGTCTATAGCTTTGGTTATATGTTGCATCTGCTATTCTGTTAAATTAAATTTGCTTCTCCTTGTCCCTATCTTCTAACAATTTTGCTAATGTCTACATATAGTGGGTGTAGAAAATATTCGTACACTGATCAATTTTCAAAAAAAAACTATGTGAAATTGTAATTTATTTACTTATTTTTTATAAACAATGATATTCTACATATTCTTGGAAATCTCTAAAATAATTAAGGTACAAAATAAAATTAGTTATTTATAAAAAGCGCGAAATTAACATGAAAAAATAATAAATCGATAGAAATATAGAAGCAATAAATATTTGTACAATTGTTACATTTTTAAAACTTCATAAAAGAAACGAAATTCACATTGATTTATAAATAATTAATGCTTCATGGGATTTTCTTTTGATTTTATAATTGCTGCAACTCTTGCATTAAATTAACTAAATGTCGATATTATTCGAGGTGGAATCTTCTTCCATTTCTCTATTAGAGCATTTCTTAAGACTTCTTTACTGGAAATTTGATGTTTTCTAATTCGTACGAAGCAATAAACTAATGCGTTTATGTTACGAATTCTACTGTAAGTGGTTCGTCATAAGAACCGTATAAATGCTTATTACTTTTATATTTCTGTCGCTTTTTCGTATTTTCTTGTTAATTTTGCAAATTATATAAACTAGTAATTGTTGTTTGGACTACATCTATTGTAGAGATTTCCAAGAATATGTAAAACATCATTGATTATAAAAAAGAAGTTAATAAACTACAATTTAACACGAAAGTTTTTTGGAAATTGATCGGTGTACGAATACATTCTACACCTACTATATCTTGATCTCCGAGGTGACGTAATAGTATACAGGGTTAAGATAGAAGGATATGTACAATATTAAAATAGAAAATATTCGACTCAAATATTCAAAAAGTCGTTTAGACTTGCTAATTCACCCCTAATAAAACTTTCGTCCCGTCCCAAAGTGTTAACCTTTTGCACTCGAGATCTTTTTCTCTGGTATCTGCCAGCAACTCGAAATGTTTCTTAGTATTCTATTGCCATGAATTCTAAGCTATCTAGATTTAAGAATAATTTTGTTGTCACCTTTACCTCGCCGACAATCATTTTATCGACATTTAGAGCTTCAAAGAAATTAAACCTAAAGAAACATTAGGTATCGCAGATTTGCTGCGTGAAACCTAATGGAGACAGAGAGTCAGAAAGGGTTAACCTTTTGCACTCGACTTTGAACTCGAGATGCTTTCGAAGCATTCTTTTGCCACGGAGCTTAGAATGACTTCGAAAATGAGATCTTTAATTTGAAATTGGAGGAAAAGGTGACCTTTGCCTGCTTCATCGACAATCATTTTATTGACACTTGGAGCTCCAAAGAAATTACACCTAAAGAAACATTAGGTATCGTAGATTTGCCTGCGTGAAACTTAATGGTGACTGAGAGTTACCTCTCGAGTGCAAAGGGTTAAGCCCCAAATATCCGCGAAAGTTAACGTTCGCGAATATATTGCGAGATGATAAATGTAAACACTCACCTACATATTAATCATTTTATTGTAGGACCTCCATCGCCAGATGCGTGGTTATCACGCCGATTGTCAGCGTGCTCCGTGTCCGGTTCCGAGAATGGCTTCATTCTACGTCGTTTGTCTTCCTGTTCCGGTTCCAGTTCGGAAACAGGAAACTACGGCAGACGTTACTCCGCCTGTTCCACTGGTTCCGAGACCGGTTACTGTCACCCAGTCTTTCCACCGAGTTACTGTTACCAGGAGAATCGACGTTTCTCCTGCTGCTCGAGTTCAGGTTCCGAGTGCAATGGTGCCTGTTGCCACCCTAGTCGTCGCGGATCCGCGGATTACGGGCCATTCTTGAGGAGGTTGTCCACCTGCAGCCGAGACTCAGGCTTCGACGCAGGCACCAGGAGGCTATCATTGTGTTCCTCCGGGGCTGATCAGGGTACTTTCTGTCGACCCAGGAGCAACAGTGGTATCGCGTTGACGCACTTGCCAGAAAACGTGACGAGGATGCCTTCTGGTCCGGATGGCACCCGTGGATTTGGTCGACCACCCAAAATGAACGCGATGTCGCCTCACATGGCACCCACTTATTAGATGCCATTTACTCGTGAGACTTTCCATTTTAGATAGACATTGACAGTTGTGACGTTCGATGTACCTGTTGCTTTCAGTTCGTTATCTGACATCTACTTACACTACTCGTAAAATTATTAAGGATAATATTTGTTCGAAAATGGCCATTTTTAATATTCTTCGGAACGGACTTTGTAGATAACGTATATACATCTGTAAGTCGTAAGGACTCAAAGAATGATAAATAATTATTTAACACTAGAACTCTCGTATCATAGGCAATCAATTTGACCCATGTATTTTAAACTTTTTTGTTAAATTATATAATTGTTAAGTATGGTATGACGCAATCTTTGATGATCGTTATTGAAACAGGGAACTAATTATACAATTATACATTATCAATAGAATTATCAAGGGAATTGATTTTCTTATTTTTTATCTAATTTAAAAGATGTTGTAGTATTTATGATAGGTAGACCTCGATAGTTCTCATGTTACTCGACATGGGATGGGAAATTTGTGATAAACGTGCCTGTTCCCTAGGGAAACAGCCTGTGTTTAATAATTACTTTAACCAATGGATAAATTTTATTTTAATTTAACGAATTGTTAAATACGTCATGAGATAAATTTTTGTTGAATGATGGCGATGCATTTGTGTAGAATTTTTCGACGTACGACCAAAACGATGACAGTAGGTTAGTATGTATATTCAGACGATTAAAGGTTTACCACCTTGACGATGACTAAACAGACAGATCTTTACTATTGTTTTGTAACAATACTATACGTTTAACCAAAACTTATTTTTACCACAACAATATATAGTGTGTGAAACAAATAATGTGCTCTAAAACGAATGTTTCTCTCTTAAATGCATTAGAAATTTAAAAAGTGTTCAACATTATAAAAGTTATGGGGTTAAAGAGAAAACAGG